AGGTGGAGTCAAGAAAAACAGCAGAGTCCACAAACAGGACTGTACTTTTTACTACGGGAAAAAAATAAGGAAAAAAAAAAAGTCGTGTGAACTAAATCAAAGCACACTGATATCACAACCACTGCTCTCATCCCCTTCACGGAATGGTTTGGCTCGAACAGCCTGCAGAAATGATCCTATTCCTTCCACTGCCCTCCAACATAACCTCTACTGCTTGCAGAGAGTCAGCACCAAAGCAACACCCTTTAAGCTTTCAGTCTCAGCAGCTTAAATTGAAGTAAATTTAGTTATTTAGAGACCAATTCTTCAGATAGACTGATTTGACATTGTTGGAAGGGAAAAAGAAAGGAGATCTAGTTGCTTCTTGATCATTTCAGTTCCTTCTCCTTCAGCCACACTGCCTAAGAAATAAAAAAATCTATTACTGTACCAAAGCAGTTACAGACACACACACACACACAAAAAAAAAAAGTGGATGTTTCACTGCTGTGGTCCATGATAGAAGTGTAATTATTTTGAAAGGAAAACTCCTTTCTAGGACTTCTCTAATTAGATTGCCCTTTCTTGTATCTCTACTATATTAAACTTAACATACCTCTACTCCAGTGGAGCACATCTCTCTATTTCTGCATTGTCATTCTCAAGGCAGACACCTGGACTGCTGCAGAATGAGATTTTAATCTCCAGTAGCACAAACTGACTGCCTTACTTCCCTAGGATGACAAGCATCTCTCTACTCTTTCTCCTCCAGATTGTGAATAATCTATGTACTAGAATCTGTTAAATCATGAACAGAAAAGAAAATGTCAAAACCGACAGAAAAGCCCAAGAAAAAACACTGGAAACAGAGAACAGCTCTTCGAAGGCTGAGATATGAAACAGTAAACACTACGCATATTTCAAGCAAATTTACTTTTACTCTCTTCAACATGGGTAAATAACTATGAGACAAGAACCCTGGGAAGGCAGAGACAATTTCAGCTACAGGTCACAAATACAAATACCAGCCTCTTACTGAGAGAAGAAAGGTTATTAACTGAATACTGACAAACACTGATTGCATGCACTTATTTCAAACAAGTGAAAAGCAGATGGGCTTGTAACATGAATGCGAATCTGAGAGAAAAATAAAGCAGCTAGTTTCCAAGTAATCCTATACTTTTTCCTCCTTATAGACATTCCCAGACTATTTCAACATAGATGAAATCTAACCATGGAAAACAGGATCTGTAGAACCCGAGAAGAAATAAATTATTTGGGAGGAGGTGTGGGAAAGAAAGAAGAAAAAAATCCTTACCAACTGACTGGCCTTACTGTGCACTTTTCTAGGAGACCAAGAATTGCTTCTGATGCAGCAGCATTCAGCCCTGGAGAAGTCAGGGCAAAAAGAGAGGGGAGGTGGGAGGAGGGAAGGGAGGGGAGAGGAGAAGGGAGTGGATGGGAGAGGAGGAAAGGGGAGGGGAGAGGAGGAAAGGGGAGGGGAGAGGAGGAAAGGGGAGGGGAGAGCATGTACACTGCATGTGAGGTGTTGGGACCTAACACTGCTTCTGGGAAAGAGAAGAACAAAGCTACTCCTAAATCAGGCTGAGAATTGGTTTGCGATGGTTCGAGATGACAAGGGAACAAGACCTCTGTATGACCATTTGGTTCAAGACAGAGAGTCGGGAGGAAGAAATGTGTGTCCCCACATGTGTCTAGGGAACTTGGAATGCCAGACATGCTTTTTTGCTCCAAAAGAGAGATCATACTAAAACTTAAATATAAGGGCTGCAGCCAAATCTGTCACTGCAATTAGTGTAAGAGGGAGACTGTCCGGAATAAAGGAAGATTTCCTTGCTTTCCTACAGTCTCCCAAACTCAGCCAGCATCTACCTGCAAATCTAAGAGACTGTAAACTACATGGAGTAGTCATCTTATCTCTTCATTCACGTTTTTGTTGCCAGCTAAATCCACACACAATACACAGTGCACTGCAGACATTCCTGCTTGGAAGACTTTCACCCTAAAGCATCAAAACAGACCAAGGGGAAAGAAAACAGCATACACAACAGCCAGAATCATAGTATCAAAATATTTTATGCACGTGAACATAAAATTATGCCAGCCATTCTCTCACCAACCAACCAACCATTACATCCCACCCTACCATGAAAAGTTAAGTGAATTACAACTTTAGTGCCTAAAGAGAGAATGGGAGTGAAACACTCATTGTGTTTCAACACATTATTTCATCATCATATCTCTGCAGGACTGGGATGAAAAACTGAAAAGCAACTTCGCATGTCAGAGGCTCTCCCTCTAGTATCCCAAGCTTCCCATTCCTCACAAGCCACACATGAAATCTGCTGCATAGCTATCATATTTATCAACCTTTATTTCCTTGAGTTAGCAATTTTGCTTCTGTTTAACTGTTGTCCATCCTCAGTCAGATGCTTTCCTGGACTTATAAGCCTCCCAAGCCCACAAAACAACTTGAAGTCTTGCACACAGGCAGAACCTCGGGAGCTCTTCCAGCTGCACCGTGGCTGCACAGCATGATGCAGCAAGTGGTCCCACTGGATGACACAGCTCTGTAAAATTCTGACTCCACAGATCCATGGGGCATAGGAAAGGCTCAGCTAACCCCCTACCTTTGACTGGCTACTTCCCTCCTGGCAAAGGCTGACTTCAATCGAAAAACTGAGGAAGATCCCAAATTACATGGTGCCAAGGGAAAAGACAGCACCAGAGACAGCACAGAATTTTTCAGGTCTGCTCCTGAAAAGCTGACTGCTGTGAGGCTCTCCTCTGCTCCTGATGCATGAAAAAACAGACAGGCTGTTCTGGTATCTTCTCACTTTTAAGTAAGCTTGTAGCAGCTGCAGAAAAGACCCACCTTCACACTGCTCCAGAATAACACAAAAATCGAACCTCTTACTGTTACAGCAACATAATTCACTGGAGACTCCTAGGTTTATACATTGTCCTTATGGCTCTAGCAAAGTACTACTGACAATTTGATCTGGCACACAGAGCCCCTGTGGCAGATGCTTATCTTAAAAAATTCAAACCACTTTCGTGATGTCGAACAGCCTGCCAGGCAGCTCTTCCCCGGCCCTTCTCAGAAACACAAACTCTCCCACCTTTACCCCATGCCCTGTTCCCAGCACTACCATCCCCAGAAGAGCATCCCACAGAATCAGAACAAACCCAGAAGCATGCTACTAAGTAAAAACGAACATTTTTCTTACAAGAAAAACAAACAAACAAACAAACAAAAAACCATATATCCCCTTCCTCCACATAAAGCCACAAGACCAGTGGGTCCCCAATCCCAGAGCAACTCACAAAGGGTTAGTGCAGCTACATTAATTCAGCTGGAAAGGATTTTCATCACCTTGTCTCTTTCCTCGCCTCTTCTGCTGTTTCAAAAATAGCTCTGGCTTGTTTGCTGTACCGCTTATGTCAGTCTGATTTTATGCCTGACTGGATGTATACAGACAAGCTCGTAGCCCATTAAACACCGACTACCCAGATCTGTACATACATGCACAGTCACACAAACACAAAGCACAGCCCCCTCCCTTGGAGGCCATGCTGGAAAACTGCTTGTTTTCAGAGGCTTTGCACTGTATTAAGTTTGTTTATAGCAGGCCTCAAATAGGGGCTAGAGAACAGACCACAGCCTTCTTGGAGGTTAAAAAAAAACAAGCAGAAAAGCAAAATAGCACTAACATTCATCTGTCTTAAAGCTGCAAGTAAGGACCTTCCCTGTGATGAAAATACTTTGAAATGCAAGTGCGTTTATCAAATGACCTGAGGTCATTTGGCTGCATGCTGTTAGTGTTTCTGTCCATTAAAGACAAACAATCCCTCCCAAGAGCTTTGAAAACTGTTATCCACGATTGCCAGGAAAGGAAAGGATATAGGAAGGTGCAGACATGCATGAATTCTGGAACAAACTACTCTTAAAAGAAACTTCAGGTAAAGTCCTGAAAAATGAGAAGCTGTCTGAATGAGATTTTTTCCCACTAGCACTTTTTAATCACTGGGTTTTCCTGAACAGCTTTACTTTTTAGAATAAATCAACTTGCTGGAGCCATTTCACTAATCCCAGATTAATTCCCTTCAAATCTGGCATCCTTCCCAAACCTAGTAATCTAAAGCTCAGCCTTCAAGACCCAGCTCATCAGTTGTGAGCTGCCTCTGTGATGCATTTTTAAATGAAACTTTTTCAGCATGCCATGACTCATGAGCATTGATCACCACGAATTGAAGATTTCCACAAGGAAATGCAGAAAAAAGAAATCTGGATTGCTCATTCTATCCATGTTCCTATATAACTATCAAATCCAGTATGAATTAGCTATTTTATCCGCTTATTATAAAAACAGATTAGTACCTACTGACATTTCTGTATGAAGTGCTCCCCAATTACTTATCTGCTAAAAAGCCCTCTGAAATTTTAGAGGAAAAAACACCATATACCATTTCCAGCAGTCAACAGAGTATGAAGATAATATTAAAAAGATGAGCCTCTCAGGCACAGTAACACATTATGGGTGTTTGCTTCGAAATGCAAATCTGTATGTATATTAACAAGAAAGAACATACACACAAAAGCTCACCATACAGCAACAAATTAGCATTTTAACACACAGTGTATGAAAACTAGTTGTTATTTGACATCTGAGGACCTCTTCAATTTCAATGGAAATCCACAAACCAGACCATGCAAAGAACTGGACTGCTTATTGAGTCCAATCACATAGATCTTTAATGTCAACATCAGAAATGAATGGGTAAAAAGTCAGTTCTGCCTTGGGGCAGAGAGGTTAAATAGATGACTGCCCAAGATCCCTTTCCAACTATATGGTCAAGACTTCCTGCTTTTTTCTGCTTCTCCTGGGGCATTCCTTCTCTCATCTGCTTACCTCTTAGCTTTCACTCCTATTAGGACTAGTATCACACTTAGAAATAAGCTTGGAACAAAGTATGAAAATTAAACATTGTCTTCTTACCCATCCTCCTTGCTGAATGATATAGTCTGCAGAATAGTCTTCTAGATATGTCACCCCGAAGTTCACAAGTGCACTCAGTGGTTCCTGGCCCCGTCTGGTTAACTCCATCAGAAATTGTTGTAGCAGAACCAGAGGTACCAATACCTACAAAAAAACCCAACAATTGTGAATAAATACACAAAGTATTATGAATACTACTGTGTAGGTAAAACAGAAGAATTCATGTGGTCCACGGAAAAGGTCTGAACCTACAAGTCCAAAGATATCAGGGACTATACACTTCATTTTGTGAAGACACAAGGCTCAGAAACACAATGCCACTCAGTAAGAAAGAAGCACTTAATCTGATAAACAAAACACCGCAGCCTAACTTGAGAGTTTCACAGAACAGTACTGCAGTCCTTTCTTAAGCCCCATTTTTTTCCAATACAAGTAAAGAGGCAGAACAGGTTCAGAATTTGCTACCCCTGAATTGGAAAGATGCAATATTATAAATACTTTGAAAGGATATGCATCCAGATTGTATTTAAACAGCAAACTCATATACGTTCTTGGATAGATACACTGCACTAGACAGTCTCTTTATATGTTCACACTTGGCTTTCAGACAGGACAAAAGCAAATGACTCCTCCCAGCAGCATAACATTACAGATATGTTTAAAATTACAAACACAAACCCCTTTCCATGTTAAACTCTCCCTCCTATGCCAAATTTAACACATTCAGAATTCCTTTCTTCATTTCCTACTCCCACTCCTCCTTCCAAACCTTTAACTGAATGCTCAGCTTTAACCCAAATGTCAATTGCTCTGGAAGATGCAAGACTCTGTGAACCTGTCTCCTTCGTATTACACAGTACTAGACACTTCCTGCTGAAATTAAGTTTTTGTTTGCCTAAACAACATGAAGTTGAACTTTTAAACTGTGTTTATTCTCCTAGTGGCCCTCTGGGCAAAGTTTATATGCAGCACTTAGCCAAGTTCAGGAAACTGGTATGAATTGAAGTCATTAGCATCAGAAAAAGTGGTATTATGATACAAGAGAAAAATATTTGTAAATTTTACTGCACTTCGTTTGGGACAACTGCATTGCACATCTATTCACTGTGCAAGTAAGAACATTGTTTCCCAGCTGCACAAGGTAAATGCAGGCTAATATTATTGCTCAGACTGACTCCTTCCTTTCCAAGCCTCCTTCTTCAGCCTGATTTTCTTTAAATATCTTCCATTACTATTCCCAGAAATCACACCTTAGTATGCAAAGCTGGAGAAAGATGAATCTGAGAAGTAGGGTGGGTTTTAGATTTGTACTAGATCCATGGTGGAGTCACACCAAGATGGACCACTAAAACCAGATGGGCCTTAAAAATGCCTGTAATCTGATAAATTTAAAATGTTCAGGTGATTAACAACCAAGAGAGTCCAATACTATGGCAGTTATCTTATAGTACTGTTCTCCTGGGATGAACAGTTAACATTACAGACTCTTAACTATGAACAGGATGGTGCTTGAAGTTTTTTGAGTTTCTTGTAATTAATCTCAACTCAGAGGCAGAAGAGGTGGAAGCTTACAGTGGACAAATGTAAGGAGCAGGTCAAGGTGAGGTGTCAGAAAAACTTCAGTCTTTTTGGATCAAAGGAAAAAAAAAGCATGCTGTCAAGACTAGGCATGTTTCAGAGGCTTTGGGCATACCCACATAACCCTACTGCAGGATGAACATTGAGATCTCAAAGTATTTGACATTTAATGTAAGCTGAAGGCAAAAGAAACACAGGCAAACAAAGGTTGCTTAGGAAATGAAGGGAGTTCAAATGTTGTCATACTGAACATGACTGTTGCCATCTTCCTTTGCCAACTTAAATATCTAATCTGTCCATCCCTCCCAAATTTAGCAAGCCTCTGCAAGCCTCAGGAGTGAGGAACCAAAGTCAAACTCTAATATCCAGTCCCATGCAGACCAACAAACACCACCTGGTTTTCCTTTCCCACTGAAATTATTGTCACTTCTACCTTTGAGACCAGTAGGAACAGAGACAGGTTTGCATGACATTGTCCCTAAATTCATGGAAGAAGTGACCTTCACAATATTTCCATAAAGGTTAACAACAGTTTTCTGTACATAAGAGTAGCTACATGAATGGTGATGAGATTTAACTAGACCAAAGTAAAAATATAGCCTTAGCAATTCAAAGCAACTGCAGTTCCCTCCACCAGTATGCCTGAGAAGGAATGATAAGGGCTATTTATATTCTGACTGAAGAAAAACATACAAAGCATCAAGCACGGCATGCCAGAAAATAGTGGGCAGGAAAAATCTTCTAGGGATTCATTAAAAAAAACCCCTTTACTATCAGAAGATTTCTGATTGTGTAAATTAAAGATTTCTCTCAATTATACTATTGCAATGCCATAATACAATATTACAAATTTAAATGTACACCCAAAAAAATTATTACAAAGGAAGTTCAGAGAATTTGAAGAAGCTATATCCAAAGTAATTGCCACTTCTGTGTACCTTTTGACTATTTCAACATAATTCTGTGGGATTATGTATCTTGGACTATGTATATAACATTCAATTTTAAGTAAAAAGCATAAAACTCAACTGTGGAATATTTCAAATTTTTATTACATTTATTTTATTAGAAAAATATAATTTTTCCTAAGTTTGAGGTGGTTTTGTTTTGTTTTAATGAAAGTCTTATTTTAAATATAAGGTGAGGACTTCTCCTTTTCTTTACAGAATACAGCATCATGCCTATTATTTTCACACCATAATTTCTGAGAAATACATGAAATAGTTTATTTTCCTGAAATTTTTTTTACTGAGAACCAGCACTTCTAATGTCTGTGGGTTTGCTTCTGTGGGATGTGAATGGGAGAACTGATGTTCCTATATATTAGTTTACCCTACGATATTTCCTCATTCAGATGGCTATTCCTTTACATCCCATGTGCTAGTCAGTTAACAAAATCTCATTAGCAGTTCAAACATACCACTGCACTCTGGAAAAGATGGTCATTTTTAAATGGAAAAAGTAACAGCTATATTTAGAAGTGTCTTCTTCCTGCTCATGCTTGTATAATAGGTTCTTTGAAAACTGGTATGACTCAAAATGATGCTGTCCCAATTGTAAACCAGACAGATCAAGTGTTTGTCCACATTCAGCCTCCAGCCAGCTAGGTAATCCAGTACCTCCCAGAAGTACATGCTTACCTTTATGCCACATTTCTTATACATATAACATCAAGGAAGATCTGCAAAGACCACTTTGAGTCTGCTTGCCACAGAGATACTAGGCCTTTAAGGGATCAGTGGGGCTCTCCTGAGTACATCACATTCAATATATTAAATAGGTGGGGCTTTTCTACATACAAATGCATAATAATACATACCTACAACAGCAAAGGCTCAGAAATTTGAAGTAAGATTTTATATACTAGTTCATAGGCTACTGAAAGCCAAAAGAGCACCTTGCTGTGCAAGATGCCACTACTGAACAAAACAGATAGAGCTAACATGTAACTGAAAACACATTTCATCTACTAGCTTCAGTCATTTTATTTCTTCTAGTCTGGATCATATCACAAGTACAGATGAGAATTCTGTCTGTAGGAAGGTATTCCCACATTTTTAACCCTTTGACATTTACCACAGCTACAATGCATCTTCAATTTCTGATCCACCCAAGAAACTACAGGATATGTAACATTCATGAGCATGTAACAGGGAGTGATTTATTATTGCATTCAGCTAGATCAGCAAGTTGTATGTTTTATTATTTAGTCATAAAAGGGAGTAAGCTTCTATTCTCCCAATAGAGTCAATTTAAATGTACATCCTTCAGATTTCCACAAACTTGAGGCACAGCACAGCCTCATTTTGCTGTTGTATGTCTGCTAATTAGACCTAAAGCTATGTCTATTTATAACTACTTTTAAAAATTATTTTTCTAACAACTTCTTCCTTAGAGTAAAAATTAAGCTAAGATGAGGTTGGAGGAAAGATATATAGATCTCTTCTTTTATAAAATACGATTCTGATTAAGAAGAAAAAGGAATTTAAAAGGAAATGAAACTAACATGAATGTATTCCACCTCTTCAAAACAAGTATTATTAAAGGAACTGCTAGGCATTCCTGAAGCACCAAGCTACCACAAAAACAATACAAACAGATGCTGTATTATTCTACAAAATTTCCATTCTGGTTTGCTTGTGGACTATTAAGTTTTGTAGCAATAAATGTTATGGGTTAACCAAAGATGATAACAAAGACATCTTCTGGATGATACTCTCAAGTGACAAGGTCTTGGGGACCAAAATCCACTAGTCACAGGGGCTGCACAAACGTAGCAGCAATGAAGACTGGAACATAAACCCCCAAATACAGATGATCCATCTACCCAGGGCTGTATCTTCAAGAGGTTAGTGTAGCAATAGGATATGTAGACCCAGTAGGCAACTGACAGGCTCCATCCAACTCCTCCCTTGCCAGATGAGCCACAATGACCGGTTTTATGCTTGTCTTTAGTTTTCATCAACTGAAAAGTAAAATGTGCTAGCTTAAGCCACCTTCTTGATAATCAGATTTCATGGTTGTTTAAACTAAAATGCTATGAAACTGAAAGCACACACACACCAATTATAATTGATGGAGCCATACTCAGTAACTTGTCAAGCAAAGTTTAATAACCTGTTTTAAAAGGGCCCACACCCTTGTTTAGATGATCAGTTTCTGAAGTAAGCAGGGAAATCTAGTTAAGGAAAAGTACTTCTAGAAAAAAAAATGTAAAGAGGGGAAAAAAAGATTTCTTGTTCTATTTTAAATTTAAGACTAAATTTTAACACTCAATTTGTGATCAAATTTGCAAAGTTATTTCATTCTTTTATTCTTTCTCTGATGCCCACTGAACCCATCAGAGAATCATTAAGAGGATGAATTTTAATAATTAATGAAAGATTAATGTGGGAACAGTAATTCTACTAATTCTACATTAAAACTTTTACAGGACAGTTCATTTAAACATTTGTATTTAAATTTGTTTTAAAAAGAAGCTTCATACCATTTGATATAACTATTCCTGAAATCAGGTAGGCATACCATCCTTATGCTTTCTGAACAATTTATATACTGTGAAGATACTACAAGTTTTTTTACATATATTTTAAACCTGAGATGGGAGTAAAGAAACAGTAGAGAAATATTATGAAAACATCTGTCTCGGAATGCTAAAGAAATAATTATCTTGGGAATTTAAAAATGTTTAATCATTATTTTTTTTAAATTATGTCAAGCAACTACTCTTAATTTTTCATTTTATTATAATTAAGGAAGATTGACCTAATAATTTTGTTAGATAACTTCTGGCTAAAGTATCCAAAAATTATATATTATGTTCACATCTATCATTCTGAAAGTTATTTCATACTAGAAACAAGTTGGGTTTTTTTTTATTCTTGGTCCTCTGTGAAGCACAGCTGTACCCTGTAAAAACACTATGGACATCAAATAGATGTGAGAGATATCAAAGTGAAAGTCACTTATTTGGTACCTTGTTCCATCCACTGGCATGAGCAGCTGTCTCTTGTGTGCACTCTCGATATTCTTGATATGTCACTGGCCTGCAGAAGTTAAACCAACACTGAAAGTTATAAAAGGAAACAAAAGAACAAGAATAAAATAGAATTCTCAGTTTCCAAAGAACAAAATATTTTCACATGTATTACAGCAAATAATTTTCAAGCGCTAACAAGTCTTGCTTTTCAGGACATAATACACAAGCACCAGACAGGGTCAGGAAGGCATCACCTTCTCCCAGTTATACAATTTCATATAACTGATTAAGGGAATTTCATCATAATTTGATACTCTACAACTTAAAAGGCATTAGATAAGTAGGTTCTCTGGTACGCTACCAAAATTTCTAAGCTCTTCGTATTTTTTTTTAATAATTTAAGACGTTAAAGATAAAAAATTCTGCTAAGAAATTCATATGTGAAATAGAGGCCAATGCAGAGTAAAATTTTTATAAACAACATAGGCTATGAACCAACAGAGACTGCTTGACTGCAATAACATTACGTTAGAGTTGAAGCCTTTATCGGCAAGAAACAGCACTTTTAATCACAAAACCCCCTTAATATTTCAGTTGATACCTCTATTTTAGATTTATCACACCTCTACTTCTCTGAACTGGGATGATGAAATTCCTGTCTTCCATACTCTCTCCTTCAAGATCATATAGTATCTTAGAGTCAGTAACAATAAAGACTTTCTGCCAAGTGACAGCAGAAATTGTACTACTTCATAAGCAGTTGAGCCAGATCATGACAAAAGGCCAGTTCAGACTTTAGTTTATGGGAAAGAGTGGTAACTGGTACTGGACAGAAGACTGCATATTTTCCTCCAAGAATCTGTCACGATCTAACAGCCAACTCTACCAGAATACACTTGTTTATATGCATATAAAAGGACAGAAAAATATAAGTAAAATAAGTAAGTATTGCATCAAATAGCACTGCTGTAGCAAACACAGGTTAAAAAAAGTACAGAGTTAAAGCACACTGGGGATAACATAATTTAGATGTGTCATTTTAAGTGCATTCTATTAACTTCCTTGGTACATTAGTTCCTTTAAAGCACAGATCCAAATGAATCAGTTGGATGAGAAGAGCAACAGCAACTGCAGGAAGGATATTATCAAGAGATTGAACAGTATCTTTAGTTTGACTCATAAAAAGACGTGTGTCAACACATTTTCACAGGCATTTCAGACTTTATATGTATGTATGTACAAATATAAATAAAAAAAATACACAGAATGCAGGTATCTTCCCACAGAACACACAAGAAGCCTAGAACATCAGGCTACTAGCAAGCTAGAACCACTTAATTTTCAAAGATCTCATCTCAGGAACTTAAAAAAAAAAACCTAGAGTGCACCAGTTACGACCTCTCAATGTCAGGCAGCCAACAACCTTCAAGGCATTTAAACTTAAAATACTATTACTTCAATTTACCATTTTAGACACAAAAAAAGGATAGGATGCAAGGCTTACTGCTCATTTTCCAACTTGTTGCCAGTATGTTTTAGTGTGTAGTGAGATATTTATCTAAACCTCAGCTCTTCAGAAGATAAGTACAAGTTTCTAAAGCCACATGGGAAAATGCCTGGCTTGTAAAGGCCGATTAGCTCCTGACATTTTTGGAGGAACACACTAGCATATCTTTTGCCACTTAAGGAGCAACTTGTACCCCACATACTCTTTTCTGTGGGTAAATAATTGTTCGTTTACACAATACTGAACTTACTTTTTAACCCTACAGAAACCACATATAGAAGCAGTTTTCCCTTGGATGACTCATGGAAAAAGAGATAACTGTCTTCATCTGTCTGGTTAGATGCCACATGGCACCTTTGCTGTGAAATCCAGGTCAGAGTCATATTTAAACCAATCCACAAAACATAGACTCGGACAGCTATTTGCTAATGCTGCCTTCACAACTGCATTTATGTAGCCATCCATAAAGTAGCACCTTCCAACTCCAGTTCTTTAGAAATAAATTTTGGAGATCACTCAGAACATCCAGAAGTAGTTAAAGTGGATTCGATCAGGCTGGTAATTTATAATAAAAACCCAAGCAACCACAACAATTTTACCATTTTGCAAAATACATTAATCACTAGCACTAGCATGCTAAGTAGTATGCTATTTAAACAATAAGCTTAAACTGACATGACAGCTCTTAGGGCACCATGGTGAGTCCAGGGGCCCACATGTGGCTCAGATGTGTACCTGAATAGTGGTCATAAAGCATCAAACTACCACCCTTTCAGAGAAACTCTCCCACTCATCTTGAGCCAAACTACAATCAAACCTTCAGCTCCACTCTTAACTATAAGGCAAAAGAAGTTAATCTGGCTACAGTCCATTATTCAGGACATTGGCAATGGAAACTGGCAGCTGCCAGCTGCTAGTTTCACCATTAACTCAAACTACTTGAATTAGTCTCAAAAGTTCAGTGATGAAAGCTGAGAAAAATTTTAGAACTTACATTACTGCAAAGAGCAAACACCACAAAGGAGTATCCACACATTACGACACAAAATAAAAAAACAGCCAGATAAAGAACACTGAAAAATAAAGAAATGATATACAAAACATAGTCCCATCTTTAGCATTTCAGCAACAGTCAAAACGCAAAAGGAAACCCCTTCCCTTTGAAAAAGCAAATGTAAACTGACTTGCTAAGCAAGCTCTGCAGTGCTTTGTGCAGATCTTCTTTCAATTCCTGGGACACCTTCTCCCCCAAATGAGCCAGGCAGTCTTCTATTGAGCTATCTGGATTTGCAGGACTGAACACTGGGGATGTGTGGCAGTCAAATCCTGTAGTGGTAAATGCTGAGAGAAGAAATTGTACAAAATTTAAAAAAAATAGATTCCTATAAGAACGTCAACAGTTTCAGATTTCTTATCCTACCAGTTAAGACAGTTTACATGAGAGATGAAGAAATCAAAACTCTATACTCAAAGCATGCTATAAACAAATTGCAGTAAAACAAGTATGGTCCAAATATATTCTGGAATTGGCACTTACAGGCCATATATGAGCTAAATTTCCCCTCCAGCTCTTATTTCACAACTGCATCCTAATCAGCAAGTTAGCTGAACATGCAACTATTCTCAATTTTAATCTGATGCCAACCCTGATGGAGCAGCAAAGAGAGCCTCTTTTCCATGATAAAATTTGCCCACACATGGATGTATGTGCACCAGTACTAGAGTATAATTTTTTAAAATAGTATTTTGTGTATGCAACCTTTTCCTTCTCAGTTTAAAACTTCTAGGAAAGGTTTATATGGATGAATGTAAACAGATCTAGAGCCTTTCTACTTCAGATTTCCAATTTGCACCACACGTGCAAAGCAAAGATTGTTTCCAAATAAAGACAAGACTGTTTCCAAATCATCCCTTGCTGGGAGTGCTATAAAAGCCACAAGTACAGGTCAAAGCATGTCACAAAAAATAGACCTGGTGGAAGTGAGAAATCTGATCGTTTAGGTCCACACTCCTCTGAATGTTAGCTGCTGAAGAATTATTTCATTTCTGTCATTAACTGGAGCAGCTTAAGGACTGCTTACATGTCACTATTTATAGTAGCCTATTAAATGTTATTCAGTTGTTTGCTTTGGCTAGACTCCACAACTCCAAACGGTAACATTTAACTACTTGACCTCAGGTGACAATGTGTAGAAATCTTGTGGGGGGAGGAGGGTAAATAAATTCAATGCATCCAAAAATCTCTTTAACTACGAGTACCTGTTACAAATTCACCACCATTATAGTGCATAGAGATTATCTATTGAAATGGGAAAATCTGAAGAGCACCTTCCAAAATTTCTTCATCAAGATGTTTTAGCTCCTCCTCGATTTCTATTTTAATCTTCTCCAAAGTCTCTTTCTCCAAAGCATACTGTGCCATAAGCTGTTGTTGAGTCCCTAAAAGAAACCAGATAAATTATTCAAATGTAGTATTTCAAATAAGGTAGATAATGGAACATGATACTGAAATATTAACTATAAAGGAATTCAAGGTGAAAGTTCTATTTCAGACAGCAACATAGAAAGTATGATCCCTTAATGGCACTTACGACAAAAATTTTATTATGTGAACACAGAAACATATAAACTTCCAGGTCTATTCAAGATAGCACAGGTGCTTTAAATAACAATATATTAAAAAAAATAGGAGTGTAAAGCCATAAACAGAATATGTAACAGCTTTAAAAACAAACAGCTTAAATTTAGGACCAAATCAAATCAAGGCACATAAACAAGCAGTCATTAAAACCAATACACTCATTATCAAACTACACCAAAACAAAATAGATATAGGCTTGATTTTTAGTAGAAAAATATAAAATTGATACTGATGCCTAAAAAATCTACAAAAAATACTCAGAGCAACTGTGTAATGACATCAATGAAGAGTTGAGATTTATTAACTGTGCAACATTTTGTTTTTCATTAAGAATCTACAGGCCACAATGAAAATGTATAAGACTGGGTTCACAAGTAACAATAGTCAGTTGTCACACACAAATGTCAGTCAATTGTCAATTCTCATATCCTAATCAAGTAATTTAGGAATTTGAAATGGCTGCATATCCCCAGAAGAACACAACATGGATCAAGAACACATATTACGTGTGCAGACTCTAAATATTTGATAACAAGAAATCGTTTCAGCCATATCATTCAGGATTACATAGACTCTCAATAATCTTCATTTTTATGCTGTAGCAAAACTGTTTCCAAACAAGCCAAGGTCTTTAAAACATTTGAATGTCTAAGGAACTGCCTGCTGAATGTCAACTTCTCCAACACAAGGCCATATGGCAAGGTAACTACTCAAGTAACTGTTTTATGGGATGGGTACCAATGGAGAGACTAGATGTCTGGGACAGAGTTCCAGCTCAAAACTCTCCTTCTTTGGGTTTGCTCATTTTATTTCTTTCATCAGCTTTCAAGCATGTCTTCACATCCCATTCTTAAAGCACACTACAAAAACTGTTCCATTAACTGCTGGTTTATTTTTACCAAACAACACTGAGTCAACAGCCTACCACTGAAATTTTCTTCTTTTCTTTCAGTTTCTTAAAACATCCTACTTAGAGACAATATTGCTATGTTATATCCACATGAATATAAAATTGAATTTTCCATCAACCTACTCCTGAAATAAATAAGTAAACAAATAAAATTGACCCCAAAGCTTCTCTTTGATAAGTAACCCCCCTTCCACCCATTTCCTTGCCTATATTTTGGGTCAGTTATCAGTCCTCACCTTAGCTCTGCACTCTGCTACTTTTAACAGTATCAGTGACTGGGTTACCCAAAACACATTTTCTTAGCTCTCTTACTTCTGAATATTCCTTAGAATTCTTTTTTGGGACTTCATGATCTCTTGTGCCCATGATTTAAACACCACCTCCTGGCTGACCTTCTGATAACATTGCCCATCTCCAGTTTCTCACTTCATGCACCCAAATACTGACAAATCTCCAACCTATCTCACCCTTTCTGCACCTACACCACCACCTATCTACAGCTCTGCCTGGGCATCTAGACATCCTTCCACTCTACAGACATTCTTCACTGAGTTCAAGAAAATAAAAAGGGAAAGGATTTATATCTGTAATGTTGGTATAATCTAATTTCATTTCTTCCTCATCACTTACATTTCACATCCAAATCTTCAGGTAAGTCCTGCAACACCCACTGTAGCTTTCTGGCATGTCTTTTTTCATTCCTGTGTTGAAGATACTAAATCATAATTTGGTGGTCTTATGAACAGCTGCCTATTTTATTTGGTTCATCTCTATATACATCTCCTTGAACACACTTTAAGTGTTGTATCACCTTCCCCCTTCCTCCATAATGGACACGTATCATCACCAGTTTTCATATCAGAATGTGTGAAAATATACAAGCAATTATAGTAGTTACTATCATAGATAGTAGACACAGATATGGAGTAAAGTACATTTGCATTTTCTGTATTTAAAAAAATACTAGACAGTAAGCTTGCAAGGTCTTCTACATTTGCAAAATAAATTAAAAATCCACAGAATCAACCCACTGAATGTGTGCTAATGCTTAAAAACTTAGTGTTCAACAGGTATCTGTGAGACAAAATCTTTCTAAACCAATGTACGTCAGTATAAAATGTTTACATTTATTTATGCGAACAGCTTAAAGAAACCACAGATTAGCAGTTCAATTTCATTCTATTTAACCACATAGATCATCATCACTACATTCAGAATAACTTTATTTAGCTTCTTAAATCTCTTCTCAAATAGTCTCTCTTTGCTATTCTGAACAATAAATTCCAGACAGGAGCAAACTGTTCCTCCTTTTGGTTAATGAACAGACACTCACTAATGCCTTGTCAGTTCCTTTAAGGTCGCCTCTTTGAATGACCAAACCACTACTTCACAGTCAGGCGCAACAAGTATATGGAAGTACAAACTCTTATTTTAACCTGTGCTTCACCCTGTATATGGAAGGGATGAGGGTATTCAGAAGAGCACCCGTTCTCATGGGACTAATGTGATGATGATCACACATGACAAGCTGTCATACTTGATAATAAGTCACCCGGAAAATGGAAGGAAGAGAAATTCCATTGCTGCCAGCATACAAAAGAGCTGTTTAGATAATCAGTGCTGCAGTCAATGGTTTCCATCTCGTAACACCCACAACTTTGCAGCAGCTGCTGATTCCAACAGCACCTGACTATTCAGTTGTGCCAAAACATCAAAAATCTACCCCTCCCGGACCAGTGACTTTGCACTGTTTATTCCCCTAATTATCAATGGATTTCAGCTTTCTGCATCTCCTGTATGTTGACCCCTACCAACAAAAATTGCACCCAGTGTTGGAGAATAGTGTATTTCAACAGCAAAGACCCCAAGCAAGCAGTATCTTTTTCTCCTTTACACAACTTCCAAGTCAGTTTGCAAATAGGTAGAACAAAACCGTACAAATAGCTTCTAGTAGATGAAAACATATTTTCATTGTTTAATAATGCAAATGGTCACAGCAGAAATGTAAGATCCATAAACACTGAATGCTTTCCTATGCTGAAAAAATGGGTTTGCCTATTACGGGCTTTTGGTAAACTGAGGCTGGAAGGCCTCTTCTCAACACAGAGACACAACAAACCTCTGTTACAAAGTCTTACACGGAGAAGTTAGTGCATTCTGCTTTCTATTTATGAAAAAGATGTTCCCTTTTGCACAAATGTGTTCTTGTTAAGATTTTGTTTTTTCAGGTATTTGGAGGCAATCTGCAAAGTAGGGGAAAGTGTATTCTAAAAGTCTATGGAGTGCAGCGTCACTGACCATCAGACAGTGTTATGAATACTAAATAAATTTAGTACTTCAGTAAAACTCCACCGATAAGGGCATTCCAGAAGTTTAGTAACACTACAAGATTAACCCGTTCCCCAGGTTTGATCCCAGGAGAAGGAGGTTCAAGAAGTCATTCATCTGCACTAGAGAGCCTGCATGTCTGATTCTACAGTGTTTGTGTTGAACTACAGCTGGTAAGAGACAACAGCTCTTACAAGGAGAGACTGCAAAGGTGTTACACCTTTTTAGTTCAAGTGAATGCAGCAGAATGAAAAGATAGCCACTGATGTCACAGATTGCTCCTGATTATTTTTCTTCCATGCTTGTAACTTTAATTCACCAATACCTCTGTTTTCAAGTTCTCCTAGGTCTCTATGATTAAGTTCTGTCTAGTCAACATTGACTTAAAAATTTACTTTCAGCAAGATTCTAGTATTTCTTTAACATCTCAGACATTTTAAAACAGTGAAAATAGGCAAGCATCTAAAATTTCTGTAAGCACCGAGAAGTGACAAGAATATATAAAATCTCTTTACAAACATATTCATGTTTCCTTTAATGAAAAGTTTATCCATTACCCCAGCAAACTCCAGAACACAGACTGCCATACATAGGTGTAGCCCTTGATTTGAGAAATGTTTAAAAGAAGCTCTTTAAGAAGGGTCAGCTTAAAAGAAACTTAAAAAGTCCAAAATATTAAGAACTAAAAAGAGACAAGACATTCCCAACTCGCAGACAGGGTTTTTTTGTGGGCAGAAAGGAGGCTTAATTAAGCGGGAACTCACATTCCTGAAGGGGCTACCTCTTATTTCTCCAAGTCACACCCCAAAACCCCCCTTTCCTTGCCTCAGATCAGGAAATGGCTCCCTTATTACCACAAACTGGATTAGTCTGACCTACAACATGAAATTTTTCAGCCTGTGACTTTTCAGCCAAAGCAGGTATGTTTTGGTCTCTGAGGAAAATTTCTAAAGGAATGAGTTATTCATATAAGCTAAAACCACTTCAAGAACTCCTTCATTGCCTACAGACCAACAGTAGGTATTGTGAATGGTAAGTGAAGATATAGGGATGAAGTACAAAGAAAACCAAGATATTCTGCAACAGCCAGTCCACCATGTCACCTGATGACAGAAAATCTTGCAATGACAAGTACCCTACCCATGATGGTCAAAACTATATAAATGAGGTACTACTGTTAGGTTTGGCAGGGCCACTAAGGAGCATGGAGCTCACTCACATGTACAAAACTTGACCACCTCCGACTATCTGTACATGTATTTCCTGATATGTAACAGAGTTCACTTCTAACTGAAGCAAGTGAACAAATAAATGTAAAATCCATTTCTCCCAGTAACCCAGCTCAACACTGCTCAGCTGGAAGAAATGTGTGCGGGAAACCACTAAAATGCCTTGATCATTGACTATATACAGCACTTCATATAGTAATTCCAAAACAGATAATAAATGGTCAAAAGAACATAGTGCACAATAACTGGATTAAAGTACTGTGGACAGCAGGCACCTCAGGGAAACTGTAAAACAGTCAAACCTTGTTCACCCTGGAGTAATCTATGCCACCATTAAGTAGTAGCACTGATTATAAATCTTCCAGATGCTATGTGAGCTAAGGGATTATTCAAGATTTCTTATAATGGCAAGGAAAACAGAGAAAAAACTACCTGCCTTCAGAATCTTCATTATAGCCACAGGCTCATGGAATGGGGTCAAATCATAGGGAATGACTTTAAATTAAAAAACAAAAATGCACTATAAGTTACTCACTGATGAAGCACAAAGAAGCATTTATAATACAAATATACCAAATCACAAAAACAAAGTACTTTGACTCACTTAAAAAAGTAAGTAGTACTAATAACTGCAGCATACCGGAAACTTCTATAATGAGCATGAACTTCAGGGGGAAAAATGTGGAAATGTTTTCCAGTACTTAGTATTTATTTTCTGTGTATGAACTAGTAGTTACAGATACTACAAGAGTTCTGAAAAAATACTAAAGCATCTCTCCACAATCTAATGAACAGATAACTGAGTTTCCACACATTTTAAATAATTGTACTCGTCTGTTGCCTCAAACCACATAACTTACACAGATGATTCTTATCATGTGTGTTTTATCAGATGTATCCGAGCAATTTGTGTTATTCACCTACCTGAAAACCCACAAAAATGTAACAGAATTTACTGCTAATGGACTTTGCTTTAAGTAAACTGAAATGAGTGCTATGCAGAATCACTGTCCTGCCAAAATTATAATAGGAATAATCTCTCAAACTACCGCTCAGTTAAATTGGTGGATTTTCTTCTGGAGACACTCAGATCCACTACAGAATACTACACTGAAATCAACTACAGAATACTATAGAGCTGTAATGATAAAAGACTGGTTTGTCCAATAAAACTGTCTTTTCTTCAAGAGCCTGGAATACTGCATAAGGTTCTCTTCAGACCCTGCACTTGAAGCCAGAAGTGGTTTTAGCTCTTGTAACTGAAGCCATCTTTCTTGCAACGAAATCAAGACCAACCAAAAGGATTCAAAAGAAAATACAGTGAGGTAAGTATATAATTTGTCTTAATTTTCACTAAATAAAATTCCTCTGAAAACCATCGGTCTCATTAATTATGTCTGGAAAAAAAAGAGAAGTTTTAACTTGGAATCTAACAAATACTTTAAAAACTAGCTCTTATCTGAGTTTCCAGAACAAAACCACATATATCAGAAGAACAGCTTTCTAGCATGAAATACAGGAAAGCAGAGGTTTGTGGGATATGATCGTAGGAGTAAAGGGAGGAGAATGGACAAAAGCATTGAATTTCTCCTACCAGTTCTAGCAGAGATAAAACAGTACCGCTCTCATTGGGAAAGATCACTTTTTTGGTTGTTTTTTTGACCATCAGATACTTTCTCTCGTTTAAATGAAGTGCTGAAACTTCACTGAAATCTGGGAGACTCTGTAGAAGGAGACTCAAGAGAGGTACAGAAATACTAACTACACCTACAGTGTGCCTTAATTCCCCACATTCTGAATACATGCAATAAAGAGAAGATCCTCCAGTGGGTGATACCAGGTGGCTGTAATTAGGATCCTGCTCTGAACCGCCCTCTAGAGGAGTCCATCGCTCTCCGATACTGAAGGAAATGAAAGAGGTTAACATTACCAGTTAAGCCAGCCTTTCTGAATATTCCCCTTATATTGTAATATGATACAGAAATCAGACAAAGAGTAAGGGCTTATTTGGATCTAAGAAAAATACATGAAGAGAAAGTATCATAGTCAATACCTCACATGAATGAAAAACATAAAATGAAGAAGTGTTCTGCAACTAAAACAGGCAATAGCCAAAATTATTGCTTCAGTTGTTTCCCATGAAAGGTCTGTCAGCACAGTAACCAAATTAAAGAAAAATAAGTTTAAGTGACAGGTCCTCTGTATCAGAATCCTCTCAATTCATAAATCAACAGTGTTCAGCCATAGAAAGACCACTGACCAGTGTTTTAAAGTACTGCAAAAAACATCAATGAAAGGAACTTTGGATCAGTCGAGATATCGCACCAATGGCTGGTGACAGTGCCTGAAAAAGACACTAACAAGCACGATGTAACGTCATACTGTTATTATCCCTCATATGTCTTTGTTACCAGAAGTTTCCTCCTTGTGACGGGATTCTACACAACAACTATTCATTTTAATTTACTGGCTTTCACATCTCTTTTGTTCTAACGAGGTTTCTTAGACCATGCTTATTACTGTAATACCAAGCTACCTTCCAGCAGTGCATTAGGCAGTGCAGGAAATATCCATTATGGGCTGCTGCTTCTCTCACTGTCTCCCTAGGGGAGAAGATAGAGCATATAGAGCAGAGTGCTTTGGTACAGCTCTCCACAAGTAGGCATCAGCTACATGCCAGACTACAAGGAGATACAGACTGTATATATAAACTACTTATTATTCAAACAAGATGCATACAGTACTTCAAAATAAACACAGGGCTGTTACCACACATATCCTGGCAGTGCAACTGAAACAACTGTTCAATTTCAAGCAACAAGAAAAGGAGGAGAAAGGATTTTTTAAAAGTAACCGTCAGACAAACGAAAGCTGTTGGAAACACGGAAACCAGAAAAGCACCAGGAAAAGTGAGTTAGGAAAGAATGAAACAAGTCCTGAAGCAGAAGGACAGTGTTTACACTTACTTCAATAACAGCCTGAAGTTCATCCAAGGCATTACAAGACACAGTGAGAAACAACATGGCAGATTAAAAGAAAGGGAAAATTATTTCATCCAGAGGCTTTAATCAGAAAGCAGTAAAAATACTGAAAGAGCCCTCTAATTATAGTGAAAAATGACCAGGAGAGGAGAAGTTGTGGTCACTGTTGTTTTTTGGGGGGAGTGAGGATAGGCAAAATGTAGGAGAATTTCCTGTTTAGAATGAAGGTTTAGAGCAACAAGGATGAAAGAACAGATCTGGAAAGTATCAATGCTTTAGAGTATTTTAATAGCAAATCCAACTACACCCTGCTGTCACACAAGCTAATACACATAAAACATCTAAAAAGTAGATTCAACAGTTATCCTTACTCATGAGCTTAAAAGTCCTCTTGACTACAAAATTCTTATTTAAGCATTTGTAGCTTCCTCTATAAAGAATTAAAATATTTCTTTAATTCAAAATCTTCTTATTTCAGTAATAAGAATCAGTTAAAAGGTTTCCCCTCAATCTGCAAATATTTGAAAAGTAACTACAGCCAAATTATTAAAAAAAGCTTTAAGACTAACAGTTTCCTTTCTGAATCTTCTGTTTACAGAACAATGCAGACTCTTCCACATTTCAGCTTTATACGTACTCACTACATTTCCAGTTATAGCCCAGTTATCCCAAGTGAGATATTCAGAATGAAGTGTCACGGCTAAAATAAACATGTTTTCCAACAAAGGGTTTTATGAAACAGCATCTTGATGCACTAAGATACCTCTCCTTTCATGGACCACAGACACAGTCAAAGTGGAAGTAACAGACATACCTTAAATATATTGATATATATATATACTAAATATATTATAGATTACATATAACCAGCATATGCTATAAGCTTTAGTGCCAAACTCATAAAATAAATTCAGTCATAACTTTGATGCTATCTTTTCTTTTCAGGAATTTCTCACTTCATGACAAGCAAGTTCACTAAATGACAATGTATGCATTAATAAATGCTTGTTCAAAAAAAAAAAAAGATTCTGAAGACTGTCTTTTTTTTTTAATACACCTTTCATCAGAATAAGTTCTGAGTCACAGGTACTAGTAGTGACTGAAATGTCATTAAGAAGTGACACGCCACCAAAACCATCCTGACAAACAACATTGTTTAAGTTCTTGCCACCATAAAGTTAAGTTTTACTACCTAGGTTTATGTGAAACACAATCTATCTAATTTCTTTTATTCCGCCTCCAATTTATTTATTTAACCTCTTATATGTGTAAACCTGCTCTGGAAGAAACATCTACTAACTGACTCCATGCAGCCCTTTACTTCTTAAAAATAAGTAAATAAATAGATGCAGCATAGGCCAGGTTAAACCTCACATCTCTGCAGTATCACTGACAACAGAAGCATTAACATAACAGGGCAAAGCTATTTAGCACATGAGATTGCTCAAGTCATCACTCAGAGTTTATGCCCCTAAACACCACCTCACCCCTGCTTACTTCCACTTGCCTCCAAAAAAAAAACCAAGCAGGGGCTCAAATTCTCAACACGGCTCAACAAAGATAATATATATCCATCCCTCCTAACCTGAAGACCGCTACTAAAACCACTTATTTGCTTCATAAACACCAGTCAGCCCTGACATTTCTCAAATTAAAACAGTAACCTAAATACAAATAGCTTTGTTTCCATCAGCAACTCTTCCTATTATTTGAAATAAGAGATACTTTACACTAATCATCAGGCTAACATTCTACATCAGTGCACAAAGAGCAGAAGAACAAATTGCAAAGACAGCTGCATATGTAAATAGGTACATATTAATATGCAAATGTTACCTTCAGTTGAAGGAGGAGGATGCTCCTGTGGTTTCTCTTGGGATAGAAGTCCCAGGTAGCTGAGAACTACGTACTTTGTTTCATAGTGAAATCCTACAGGCACAGCAGTAGAGGACGCCATCGGGTTGGCTTGCAATGTGGCAGTGCTGTTATAGGTCACGTAGGGTTTTCTCTGGGTAACTGAGGAAGATTGTAAGGAAAGAATACAATGTTTTGTTTCTTTTTTTATAAGGCTGCAATAGGTCATGAACTCATACATAACAAAGAATTATGTAACATTCGTGAAGTAATATCCAGGTTTTTGCTCTGATATCCTATGCATTCTTATTCTAATAAGAACCGTGCAGAGTAAAACCAACTGCCCGTCAGTCCAGCGCCTGCCTGCTGCCAGCAGGGGCATTTTTCACTCCTGCGGGATATACATATTCTCACATTAAAGCAGGATGAACAGCTCCTCAGCATGTGTCTGCTTCCTAATGCCTCCCAACTCAAACACACACAAAAATACAGATATATTCATGCAAAGAGATTTTGAGGGATTCTGAAGACTTAGTTAACTAAAACTTGAGGTTAAAAGACAGGTTCTGAGGAGTTGTTCTTCCCCTAAACCTCTGTTGAGTATTTCCCTGATTCTCTGGTTTCTCAGATTGACTATTATACTTGATTTTTGATGCAGAAAGACAACTGCCTCAAATTCATTTTACTGTTCCAACAGCAATGGCAAACAAATGTTCAGAGGAAATTCCACATTCATTGTAGGGACTGGAAGAACAGATGGTTGTGTGTCCTGGATTTCTCACCCAGAGATTAATACTTATAAACCAGAAATCCACACCTAACAGCAACATCTGGCCAAAGAACTTCCTAGTTTTAGTCTAATTGTTTTGTCACTTTCTTCAAATATCCAAATAAGAACAGCAGGAAAAACTGAGGTAGTAAGAAAGTTTAAAAAGTCATAAAGGACAAGGTAAAAAAAAAAAAAATCTCAGAAAACAACACAGAAGTGGGAAAAAAGCCATACAACAGATTGAAAGGAAAATTCAGATTAATCAACACGTTTTAGCTCACATTAGGAACAGTCTGGATAACTATTTCAATGTGCTATCAACATGATGAATCAAATAATAATACTTAGGGATTTAAGATAAATTCTTAGAATTTTAAGTTCTCCATTACTTCAAAGAGTCATTCCCAAAAAAGCAGTCCATTCTTGTCCATCAGAATGGATGTCTAAACAAAAGGTGTGCAAAAAAGTTCATGCTACAGAATAGCTACTTAACAGATACTGAAAATGCTGGAAAATTTACTAGTGTGAGACTGCAGTCACATTTAGAAGAAAAATTTAAACCAAATTTAAAGCATTTAGAATGAGAAAAATGCTATATACAAGGCACAGAAGCTGGAACACCTCAAGAGGGTTCTCAATTACACTGGAAATGCCTTGAGACTAAGAGAGGGAACCAGGTTCCCAAAACAAAGCACAGTCGGCAAATGAAGCCTCAAGATTAAAAATAATAATCATGAACAGAGCAAGAAAAAGAAAAGCATTGACCTGTCTAGCTATGCAAGATGTCTGGGCTACCTTCTAACCCCCCTCCTCCCTGGAAAGGAATTCTGATTAATAGCAGTACAACTGGTTACAGAGGATAAACAGAACTGTAACTGTGCTGTGGCATGGATAGTGTGTGAGTAGGTAGCTTGGCAAAGAAAAATTTATGTCAAAATAAAAGCTGCAAAAGGAAAAGAGTCAGTGTAAAATTGGCTAAGCAGTCTTTCTTTAATCTTTAGCAACTCTAATTTCTGAAACTCATTCAGTACTAAAAACAGAAGAGGACTCTCTCATGAAGACTGTACCCTGGAAGCTCTGCCTCCTGCCATGCATTTCAAAACACCTGAAATCCTTAACCAGACAGATTCAGTTGAGTCTTTGCTATGGTTTAACCAAAGTAATGATTTATACATGAAGTAACTGGTTGAAACTTTGAGTCAATATTCATCCCTTTTCCTTTGGAGTAGTAAACCTACATTTATGTTGCCTCTTCCATCCCAGAGTACTCTACAGGCAATGTATCGTGCTTCAGAAATGTAATAAATTATAGGAGAGGATAAGCACAGCTTTTGCACAATACACAGTTACCCTTCAGCTGTTTCCATAAACTGAAACTTTAATAAAGCAGGGAGATTTGGAAAAAATAACTGCTCAGAAGGGATCCTTTAACAATAGATCTGCTCTTCAGACCAGATCCCCAGATGCTATCACCACATCACATGTTCACATCACCAGGTGTGAAAGATGCCATTCACCAAAAAGCAAAAGCTCCCCAGCACATTTCAGTTCTGGTTTGTTCAGCAGAGATCCACAGTCCTGAAAACAACACGCTTCTCACGCCTACACAGTGAATGGGAGCCCTTCCAGACAACCTGAACTGACCTGTCCTGAAAGAATCAGTCTGATGGATGGTCCAGAGACACCGAGACACTACACTGTGGATCAAAGAACAAGCCTGAACATATAACAAAGATTATTCTTCAAAATAGAATTCAAATCAGTGCAGAAAATGACAGAAAAAAACAGTCAATCAAAACAAGCATAGCACTCCATACCAGCCCAGTGATTCATGTGCAATAGTGAGGCCTAATTCATGAAAATTTCAGCATGCTTAGCTCAGCACCTCTGGAGGGAGGAGGGGGAAAAAAAAAAAAAAAGAAAAAAAAATAAGAGAGAATTGGACCACAGCTTATTTAAATAGTGGTTAATGTTTCCCTGGGAAAACAATGAAGTAAAAAACCTCTGAACAAAATAAAAGTAACCACTTTTACGTCACATATTCTGAGAGGTAGTTTTATAACTGGAATGAGAGGGGAGACTTAAGAACTTGAATGGAAGTATCTTCAGCTTCACACACGACAAAATGTCAGACTGGAAATGCACTTCAGCATCTCTGGTCTTCCTTTAACAGAAGTCCACAGCACAGTAATTGAATTACTCATTTTGAATTGTGAATGACTGGTTTTGTTTACAAAAAGAAATAGAGAAATATTGACTCAGATACTGTAAATATCTCAGAAAAGGCCATTTTTCAGGAATGAGTGGGATTAAAAAAGGAGACGCAGCTTGAGAGATCAAATCAGAAGAAGGAGAGATTTCCACTACAGGGGAAAAATGAGAGTCCAGAAACCATTAAGAGAATAAGACAAAGGCTTGTATGGGAGATGTAACAGAAGAGAGGAAATAAGGCATTATACAGACTACACAAGCCTCAAAGCAAGGGCAAGAGTGTTACTTCTGGTGTAACAGGTTCACTGCAAGAATACTGCCTCTTAAAAAACTAGAGATCAAAATTATTACCAATTACTCTAGAAAAAATTTCACCTTTCTCAATTCCTGCACCCCTGGAAGAATAAAAGGCAACACCTTTTGAAACTTACTTAGCTTGCTACTCCTCTGACCCTGCTGTCACTTGTTTCATGTGGGCTGAGCTGCTCAACCTACCTGAGGAGTTCCAGTCAGACTGACAGTTCCTCATGCAATCTGTCACGTCCTAATCCATAGAAGTTATATGTTAGATAATAGGCAACTCAAGTCTACCAATGAATACAGTGAATATAATCCCCTAGCAATGAGGCTCTATGTTTTAATCCTTACCTGCAAAATCCTACTGTGCATCATTCAAAAGCCAAAATGCAACAGTTTATGATACAGTTCACCAGCTGCCACTAAGATCCACTGTGTACCTATTTGACAGTTGCAGGTCTGAAACTTCCCTTTTGCATCTAGAGCTGTAGCCTTACAAAGTATTTTGCATGTTTATAAACAAAACAGTAGGTGATCAGTATCGCTACAAATTTCTAATGCACTAAAAACAAAAGCCCAGAAACAGTAGCCTGTCACAGATGGCTTGCTTTTTACAAATACCACCACCACTGTGACTGTAATTAAGTCCCACTTGAAAACAGAGTCAATCTAGGGCTGGATGCAGGTCCCACCTACAGCCTAGGTTACCAAGCCTCACTTACAGGCTACAGTCTTAATCACCCTAGACAGCCACTCCAACAGAACACTTCCTGCTGCTGGAGAATTATTTCAAAGCACATGCGGTCTCAGTCAGCAAGTGTTCACCCAAGCTCAGACAGGGAGATTTAGCAAGGCAACAAAATGGTAGCACTGGAGTTCAAATAATTTTTAGAGCAGAGTGCCACTGATACATCCACAAGTATGGGTCATCCTTCTGATACCATAACGGGTAATCATGCTCAGTTCACTTCAATCCCTACATTTATATTATACTCTTTATTCAAATGAACCAAATTTTGAGGAGTTGCAGGTCTGTAAAACCACACCCCATATCAACAAGATGGAAAATATTCAAGCACTCTGCACTCTTACCAGAAGGCTTATGTAGAGATTTTGGATGAGACTTGCATGTGTGGACTTGTTTAACCTTGCAGCAATCTGTCTCTGAAAACACTCCACATAACAGGCAGGACCTTCCAAAGCATCCAATCACTATCAAGTTTTAAGATAAATTCTTCAGAGTATTTTTGCAACAATATATGACGGTATGACTAAGAGATTGTTTTTAATAAACTGAGAACTACTGAGTTCAAACACGTCAATGGAAAGGAATCAATACTGCATCCATTACTGATCCTCTAGTGGCACTTAATGGATAGAAATACTGTAAAATTTAGTCATTTATCTGGGCAGTGGTTTTAGTTGACCTTACAGGGAAATATAATTAAGTGTGCATTCTAGGCAAATGGTTTGATTTTTCTTCTAGGAAGAAAAACAACTTTGTGAGTTACCTACTATAAAGGTTCTCAATCCTTTCCAGCTTTAAACCACCTTACCACAATATTAAATCATGACAAAAGTAGCTTTTGTTAACAAGCTTTCATTCCATTTCTTTTTTAATTTGCCAAGTGCTATTTGGATTTAGAAGCAAAGAAGAGGACAGGCAGGTAGAGGAAGCCCTGTGCTCTAAGTTCCAACAGCACCAGACAAACGCAGAGCTGGAGCAGACGAGACGCCTGCGAGTGTGCAGCGTAAGCTACTCAGTTACTACGGCGATGAATGAGATATTTATATCTGGGCAGGAACGGCAAGGAGCAAAAAGCCGGGATGAGTCAGCCGGCGGGGTCCGCGCTGGAGTCACAGCCTACGCGCTAGAGCGGCAGGTGCGGGCA